CAGTCTTCTTATTTCCTTGAGGGCACATGGAAATCATGCCAAACAATGAAGTTGTAATAAGGGGGGAGGTGAGGGGGAGGTTTTTGATAAACGCTGTCTGAAGTGTTTATTTGAATTTCTTAAAAAATGGAACATCATTTTAAATTTATTGCAAAGTAGATATAACTCTGTTAAGTCAACAACCTGTATTTAATATTGTCTATCCAAGGCTGTATATTTAACAATTCCTGACTTAAATTGTAAATAGCATCAAAATTGTAATGATTGTGTTAGCGTAAGTAATACTTGTAATGTATTAGTTTGTGTAATGGATACTACATGATCCGATGTAATGGAAGTGCTTTGAATATAGTTCGTGCAAGCGAATGTGAATCTGAGTTTTAGATAAAGATAACTGAACCAAATATCTTCTGCTATTTTTTAATTTGTCACCCCTGTTCTGGTTGCATGCCTTCGCTCACCTTCATCTGGGAAACGCATGAATAACTGGGAAAAACTGTCCTATTGCAATGGTGGCGTAAAAACTGAACATACTGTTTTCTCTTTATCCTCTCCGGTAGCCTAGAAATTCAAATTTTGAATACGCAGCGTCCACGTTGTCTGTACAAGCCTCAGTGATAGGCCGAATTACGCCCCCTTTTCAAAAAAGCGCACAACTTCGAATTCCCCACCCCCAAACTTAACACCACGCCTTGTGCTCCTGTTTACATGGAGTGGGGGTTAGTTTCTTTTGTTTTCACGCTCTGGGGGACACAAAACAAAAGAAACTTACCCCACTAGACCGGGGTCCCCCACTCCATGTAAACAGGGTCTAAATCAAACGTATTCACAACTGTGAGATAAATGAATTAACCATTAGGGGACATCACGCGATCGGATGTTAAGGACGAGACCACGAATAACAAAACTAAACAATTATTGACCGAAGTGGTAGTAACTTGTACAAGATAATAACAGCAGAGTTTAACAGCCAATCATAACCTCGTACTCAAGGTTTAATCCCTTACCTCCTTCCCATTTTTGAAAGAGAAAGCACTGGGACGAGGCTGAACCAATCGGAGAGCACCAAACTTACTTTCAAAAGAATGTGTTGCAGGTTTCGTTTAATTGAAACAAAGACGAGTTTCAATTTGAGGCTGAAATGAAATAGAAGAAGGAAAGAAAGAATGAGATAAGCGCCCCCTCCATTTAAATAGCCTTCCCGCTCTGTAGGAGCAATTTGTGTGAAGTGTTACAAATTTTGTGATGAATTAATACAGTTTATCATTTAAGAGGTTTTAAAAGAGACCGGGGCTTAATAACTTTCTTCCTAGGGAAAGGGGGAGGGGTATTTTAAAAAAGATATCAAGGAAAACGATTATCATAGCTGTATCAGACAAAGACGTAAATTTGTCATCTGATCATCAGTAAGTAAATGCTTTCATAACAACGTAATGTAATGACGTCATCACCTTTAGCACAATCTATGATAGCGTTTGCGAGGTAATTTTTTATGAAGTTTTTATGGTTCACGAAAATCGTTCAAAACTGAACGATCTGTATGATTAGCCAACATCTACAGAAAACGAGTGTTTTTAATGCAATTTCAGACCTCACTGTAGTTTCACTCAATTTCAGCACCAACTGTGTAAAAACGAATGCAAAGCAGTCGATCATGATGATAGTTTTAGCCGATTGCTAGAAAATAGCATTAACATTTGTCAAGGTTTGATTAGCATATTATAGTATATTAGAAATTCTAGATTTTTTTAGTTTTATTTTTCCTGGTCACAGTTTTAAGGGTTGATAAAGCTATCCACTGGTTAAAACTCTATCCTGTGAATAACGGAACTAGTGTACCCTCTAATTCTCATCCACCGGATGGTGACTTATCCGCTGTGGATGACACTATTCTTTAATTAAACGTTTGATGAACAGCGTTTATTGCTTCTACTTGTTAAAACGTAATAAGTTAAAAATTTCGTGAAACGTTCGCCACCGAAGAAGATTGGAAAACCATAATCTGGAACAACAAAGAAATAAAAGTTCAGAACAAGCCGGTTTATTCATAAACATTATGCTATTAATGCGAGAGTCATTTGCATTCAAGATCTTTTATTTAGTTTGAACCTCAACTGTCTAAACGTACATAAATGGGCTGGTTTACGTAGGTCCGTACAATTATCACTAAGAGGTAATGACAGTTATGCCTTCATAAACTCACTAACATTTGTGGTAGGTGACAACATTTTTTTGATGTTACAAAGGGGAAATCAAAGGATTACGCATGGTTCAATTTGACTTGTAAGCATGCCCCCCCGGGCACACACCCGGGAATTTGCAATTTTTTCCCCTCCCCCGGGTACACAGAAAGAGACAATTCCCCACCCCTAAGCTCCTGATCGACCTCATATACGTTTTTTGGAACATTTTTTTTCTTACAATAGCACAAAGAGACGTTGTTGAGTTTACTGAGAGAAGGATAATGGATATCGAAAAAGAAGAGGAACTGAACTCTTAAAAGAGCGCCTTCTTTATGGAACACTTCAAAAAAACTACTGGACCGAATCTTTCTTTCTCTCTATATATGTATTCGTTTTCGACCGTTTTCATATAAGGTTTCTTATCATTATTTAAAGCTAGGCTGAGGAAATATTTCTGTCCTTCTCTTCCAAAAAGTAAAATACATGATTCAAGTACGCATCATACCCACATTCGTCTCAGTCAAATTTTAAAATATACCTTTAAATACAGACTTTAATTTTGATAAGTTATTCCCCTCCACCCACTCTCCGACAAATTCCTTAGTTTTTCCTTAAATATACGTAGTCTTGAGGTCTGCAGCCATCGTGTCATGTAAACTGCACGAGAAATGACACGTACTTCTCAAAGAGAAGATATGAGAAGACATTTTTTATTTGCCCCACCCCCCCTACCCCCAGGACGGGACCACTTCAAACAATTCCCCACCCCGGGCCCGAAGGGCTGGACTTGTCCAGGGAATAGCCCGGGGGGGGGGACGGTAACAGGTCGAATTGAACCATACATTACTACCCCCTTCCTATCAGAGAAAGAGCTGAACCGCCCAATATTGTTCAAAAGTTAAAGAGCAACTTTATGTTTCAAAGACAGCGACCATCTGAGACAAACATTTAAGCTGCCACAATCTATCGTTGTCGAATCGTATGTTGCAGCCTTCCAGCACAAAGTGATCAACTCAATTCTTTCACAAATACAACGTGTGTGAAATACTTAGTTTTAGAACAAATGATTTACTGGATTTATGTACTTTCTGTGATAATCAGCGTTTATCACTGCTTATCATTATTTCCCATTTGTTTTGTCACTGCTCACAATCTAAACAGTTTTGGATTGAACTTGAATTATATTGATGCCTTATTTCGAATCAACGAATTCGTCTAACTCCCCTGCTTGGAAAATGTGGTTTTTGTTTTTGGAATTTTGACGGAAAATGCTTGACTTTACTTCGCCCATCAATTACTGAACAATTTTATAATTATTGGAGAACTTTGTTTGTGAGACAGTAATTGCAAATAAATCCTTTCAAACAACCAGCAACAAAGCAACAAAGATTTTTTAGAAGAAAATAGATACAGACGCCTTATTTAAGTTGACTGTCTTAAATCAGTATTATTTTATTGCCCTGTTGTACTTTTTTAATTTCTTTTAGCCCTTCAATAATTGAACGATTAATTTTGGTATATACTCTGTTCTAATTGTAAGTTAATGTCTATTGTTAAAATGCTTTTTTGTAGTATTGCAAAAGTGATTATCTAATGTGATTTTCATTAAATCTAATAAAAAATAAAATAGAAAAATATTATTTTAAAAACCAAAAAAATTTATTAAATTTATATTAATACTTGTGTTCAAAGCAAAAATGAACATGTGTAGAGAGGTGTTTGCCTCGTAGAGAGCCAGGAAATGGCAAAAAGGAACCGAAAGACAGGGATGCGATTAAATCTAACCGCCTGCTTGGAGAGTGATGTCCGTCCTACAGAGGTTTACGTCTTGAAAAGATTGTGAAGATGTCATGAAGTGCCAAAAGACAGTGTGAATATAGGGCTTATCGATCCGAACTAGCTATATATACAAGACATATTGGTGGCAACGGATATAATGCACGTGAGTTTTACAATTTGGTACACTACTACTGTTTCGCAAAAATAATTTTGCAACAAACGATAACATTTGTTCTTACAATACTCGATCTTCATCAAATATTCAGATTAATTGTAACAAAACAAACTATGGAAAATTTTCTCTTAAATATCAAGGAGCACAAGTATATGGAATAATTTACTAGCTGATTTAGTTAAAGAAATCAAATTCATATAAAAAAATTTTAAAAGTTGTCAAAAGCAAATATCCACCATGAATTATTTTCAAATGGACCTTAAAACCGGAATACATAGTGTATGTGTATAACATTAGGTACCATATATTGTTATATATTATGATTTAAATTACATTGCAATCTATCTTGACGCCTAACTTGAAATAAAATTATTATTAGATACACAGAGAGGGATATCCTACTTGTAAAAGCTCAAAAGAGCTTTATTAAGATCTCCCTGCCAAGAAATGTTAACGTTAATTATGATAAAGACGAATAAAGGTTGTTGTTGTTGTTGTTGTTCACGTACATTTGCCTGCTGTTCTCTACAATTTAAACAACCACGTTGAAAGGTTAAATTCAATTTTTTGTAGAGACGGTTACGTTACGTTACTCTCTCTGAATTTACAATCCCTCCCCTCCCCCCCCCACCCCCCGAATTCAGGCTCTGGCCATTCAGTAACATAAGTTCAAGAAGTACTGGTACAGCCGCCCCTCCCTTCAATAAAAGTAGTTAGGGAGGAGAGGGGAGGGATCGGCTGTATACAGAGAGGTTTTCACTCACACCCGACTGTTGTCGTTGTCATTTTAAGCTGCAAGGGCTTCTCATTGGTGCTGCAATAATTCATTTAAATCGCTGTGATATACAATTGTTACCATTAAGTTACAATCCGCTGACCATACACACTAAGATATCGTCTTTTTGCAGTACACGTGACCTCTGATCACGCCGTTCGTCCCATGTACCTGACGATCGAGGCGATTTTGAGGGCAGAGGACTAGAATAACTTTTATAAGTGGATAACGTGGTTCGAAAAGTCTTTCTGTTCACAACACGTCTGCCTCCGAAACGAAAGCTATCATCGTTTGACTTAGCAGAGCACAACATCCTCACGTATGCATTCCTAAATTCCGGAAAGTTTTGTCCGTACAGTATAGGATTGAAGAGCGAATTACTGTATTGGAGCAGTTTAACTGCAAATACTGAATGCGCGGGTAAAACAGCCAGGTTCCCGCCTGCAAACTGCACTAAACCCAAAGTAAAGAACGGGAGCCAGCCAATCAAAAACAGGCCTATCATGATGGCGATGGTCTTGGCCGCTCTTATGTCTCTTCTGAGCTTCGTATTTTGGTGAAGTTTGGACGTTTTGCGTTTAATTGTGAACAGAGTTATTCCTTGGGCTACGAAGATCAAGCTGAGTGGCAGGAAGAAGCAGAGGCAAATGACAGACATGTTGTATAACCGCTTCGTAATTTTGTTTCCAGGTACAGAGAGGCCCGAGACGAGAGTAGCGCTAAACCATGTTAGGAAGATGATCACTGAATATTTCCTTCTTGAGTAGGAGCGATGCCTGAGCGGCCGAACAATAGCACACAGTCTGTCCCAACTCAATGCCATAAGATGTAAGATGGAACCCACCCCTCCGAGTATCTCGAAGACGTACCATGCTTCTATGACAGTTTTGTACCACGCAGAGTCACGATCCTGTTCTTTGTGGACAAGTACAAGCCAGCCAGGTACAGATACAAGACCCACGAGCAAGTCCGCCAATGCAAGACTTGTTATGAGATAGTTTGTACGCGTGCGCAAGTTGGCGTTCTTGACGAAGGAAGCGATGACAAGTGCGTTTGCAAATATAATGGCCAAAGCAATTAAGCTGTGAAGTAGTGTCCAGATTATGAGAGGACCTACCCCAATTGATTGGTAATAGAGTGAGCTGTCCGTTCCATTCTTCTTGATACCTGGCAAGATTAAAATTGGTAAACGTTTAATAAACTGTCGCTTATAAGCCTGGTACTAATAATCACTACTCCCCTAGTTATAGGCCCATCGACCTGTAATTAAAGCAAGCGTTTCCGTGCGGTTCCGGAGTAGAGAACGAGGAACGAGAGACCAAGACCGCGCAAAGTCCATTTTTCGCGCGGTGAAAACCAAAAATCCCGCTCCACGGTCTTTCTTTGCTCCGAAACCAAACGGAAACGCTTGCTACGCAGGTTACAGTGAATACTAATCGTATTTTGATGAGAACTGCTATAGCTTTCTTCAAAGTGCTTTTTCTATTTCCGTTATGAGCCCACTTGGATATAAGCCCCTCTGTTTATAAGCATTCCTAAACCCCTTACGAAGATGTATAAGTCCAGGACTTGTAAGCGGCAGTTTACGGTATTTGGTAGAAAACCGAGTTTTCAGATCGAATCATTGCTCGCTTCATACCACATTTCAACATCACAGAGGCTGCTTAGGTTACGCATAAACTAAGTATCCTTCATGATTTTTCTCATTAGATAATCTGCTTTATTAAAAACTGAATCATCGATTGGCTTAGCCATCATTGCATATAACATAACATAAACTCGCTTTATTTATACTCGAATTTTAGAGTGGCTAACAAGCTAATATCTTCGAGCTGACACTACATGTAAATAATATAGAAATATATATAGACATTAAATGCATTATAAGAAATAATAATAAAATAATATTAATAATAATAAGCACATAGAAAATATATTATTTACAATTCACAGTTTTAAGTTTAAGTATGTCAGGCAAAAAGAATCTATATGAAGGTAACATCCTGTATTTGGGTCTTAAAGTCTGCGAAAAAACTGGTACTAAAAAAGTGCGGCAGTGCATTCCACCGCTTAGCTGAAAAGTAAGAAAAGGAGTTCTACGGAGCTGGAGCTGAAAAGTAAGAAAAGGAGTTCTACGGAGTTCTTCTTCTTCTTCTTCTTCTCTAAGGAGTTCTTCAGCGTTCTACCTGCGCCACCATCCATATGCATATAATACTTAACAATTATTCTACTCGCGCTTGTTGGATATGAGATGATTATAGCCAACTCGGCGCTACGCGCCTCATTGCTTAACTACCATCTCATATCCAACGCGCACTCGTGGAATAATTGTTAAGTATTATATGCATATGGATGGTGGCGCAGGTAGAACGCTGAAACAAGTGGCTCATGTAACACAAGACAAAGTGTCTCATCTCATATCCAGATTTCAAGAAGTTGGGAGGCGCACAGTCGGCTGAGGTTGAAGAAAGTCGATAGCCAAAACTTTCTTCTCTTAATTTTTAACAAGATTAAGAATCCACTGTTTGTGACTGTCTATGTCTGCCCAGGTAGACATTCTTCATTTTTCTATACGTTGTCCTCTGTTTTTATTGGAATATTTGTACTTCTTTCCTACCTTACTTGCTTGTCAATAGGATATAACGCAGCTGAAAAACTAATATATATCTTCTTTTGCTCCTTAACTTACGGAACAAAAAAAGGAAAACCTTTTAGTTATGAAGCAGCTGCCCAAGCTAAGTTAAGGTTTTATTTAATTAGAGCTCGTTTATTATGGAACTTATAATGTATTTTGATATTCGGATAAGAACGACGTTGAGTCATTATTTTCACAAAAATGTGCACAAAAAGGAAACGTTTATAGAAGTAAACTGATTATCGCAGGCGTTCCACCGAGTGAAAGATAAATTGGCAAACGCGATAATTCACCTTTTGAGCTGTATGTATGGGCCATGCAGTTATTAAAAAGGAGTTCCTAGTAGCCCATGTTTAAAAACCGCTTTTTATTAATACCACTTTCAGTTTGCCCACGCTTTTATCTATAAACACCATTTAAAATCGTGAACAATTTCAATAAACCATTATAGCGTAGGCTGGAAAAGCACTTACTTTTTTTTTCACTAACCCACTAAGAAAGAAATCTAGAGGTCCAATTATTTCTTAAACCGTGGCCTAAGTTAGATTTAGTTTAAATAACCGACGCTATGAATTTATCATGCATGCAGTATTTTCTTTTTCATATGTCACTTAAAGACATTTAAAAGGACACCTATCTTATTCAGGATTTTTCATTTGAATAACAAATATTATCTCAAAAGTTCGAGTAATCTAGTACGTATTATCATATCTACTTATTGATATATTAATGCTAATTTCTTGTGTTTAGTGGCGTTCTGTTCAGCTCAGTTAATCTAAGAACGTAAAAAATCAGTTCTTTATTAGATAACAGCATTATTCTTACCAATCCCAGGAAAAGAGCAACTCAAATAATAGTTTCTAGTCTAAACATACAGTCTATCCATGCGAATGCTATTGAAACTCAATGATAATTTTTGTCTGGTAAAGTTATTATAAATTTGTTCGTATTGTTTTTGACTTTATGGCTCTTTTCTTATTGTCTTTTACCTGTAAACTTCATTACATCATGCTCGCTACACAATACAGATAACTAACAAATGAGGAGCATATTTCACGCGATAAATCCGTGACAGTATTTGATCGACACTAGCCTTCAACCAACTTCAGACTTCATTTAATGCTATGACCTACCAGGGAAAGTTGTCTGATTGTCCATGGCTCCTTTACCGGTCTCGGAGTAGAGTCTTTAATACTGAATATTTCTTTCTGAAAATAGTAGAACAATATTGCTATCATAACCAAAGCGTTGCTCTTACTAACTTAAACTTGAAATTTATATGATTTTGCTGGGCCGGACCAGATTTCAATAGATAGGGTCGTCGCTCCAATGTTGTTATGTCCACCATTCTCTCAACTTCAGGAGATAGGATTAGTTAGGCTCGAGAGGAGACAGAGGTCCTCTAACTTCACGTCTAAAATAGGGATATCTGTGAGCTATTATAACATGAAACTATGAAAAAAGTGAGGGAAAGGTAAATGTGCATGAACGCATGAACTAAATATATTTTAAATAAAAAAATCTCGCTTAAAATTGGCTGTTACTATACCATCACGACTATATAAAATTTCTGATGCAACTAGCTAAAAAGATTATCTGTGGGAAGGCAAAACTTATAAACGTGAAACGTTTAAGCGAAACATACAATTAAAGAAAAGGGAGTTTACAAACCTAACTTTGAAAAACCATACTAGCGAAGACAGAATTCTGTGCTGCTTTGTTGCGATCTGTTAACGTTTCTAATCTTCAGTGGCGATAGCACCGTGAATGCGTTGTGGGGCTTATCGTCTTTTGTTTTGTTGTTTTGTAAGCAGATAATTAGTACTTCGCTCATTAGCAAAGTCAAATTTTCTTTTCCGCTGTACAGCTTTGAGTTTGGCGCAAAATGCCGCTGTTACTTGAGAAGGAACGGTACTAATTTAGATCGTCCGAAGGGGCGGGCACAGGAGCGAAGTACATGTCTTGTAAAGCACTCTCACATCGATCCGTGAATCAAACGTCCTCATAAAACAACTTTTAACTGTTTTTTATGGAGGCAAAGCATTACACAAGTCAAGAGAGATGAAATCCACTTGAAGAGATGTTACAAAACGAATTGAACAAACACATCAGCTTAGGAGACGGAAGACCTCTGCTCTCTAATTATCGCGAAAAACAATTTAATGACAAGTAAGGCAGTCTCTGAGGAAGTACGCTTTTAATTTACTGATACGTCCTTTTAATGTTTACAGTCTTCAGTTATGTCATTTTCTGTCTTAATAACTTAGAAATTTCGGCAGCGTGGCTATTGTTCCAGTTACAAAGTTAGCAATAAAACTGAATAAAAAAAGTTAAACAGCAAACATTCATGATTCCCATTTAAACTTTTACTGAGATTCTCGATTCAAAATCCAAAATAATCCAAAGCGGGACAATTTCACCGTCAAAGGTTTTCTTTCCTGTTTTTAATGATCCGAATCTTGATTCAATCGAATATTTCCTGTTCAATTAACAATGTATTTTTTCCTTTTTGGAGACGAAATTGATAAGCAGGACCAGAAGCATATATAACCCTGTCACGGGTCAGCTTATGCTGACTTTCAAGCGTTTGCACAGAGATAAAAGCGCCGCGTCCCTTTTCTCCCAGCCTTACTGATTATAAGAATAGATCGATAGTTGCCGAGAGTCGAAAAATATGTATGACGAACGAAAGGATTTGAATATACTCCTATCAAAGGGATTGAAGTAATAAGGTTGATTTGACATTTCTTCCGATTTGTGCCAAATAAGTTTCATGCTAATTGCCAAACGCATTGGTAAGCGAGATGTTATGTTCAATTCCTTTATTTTAAGGAAGTAATTTTGTTTTGAAAATTTTAAAGACAACAATGAAACGGGAAAAAACCCAGGGAGCATTACTCAACACGTGAAAACCAGCAATTTGGAGGCACTAAAATTAAAATGCATTACTCACAATTATTCATGTTAGGAAAGGATCTTTATTAATTTTATGTGCTTGTACTTCGCGAATGGAAAAAGAGCGATACAGACAGATTTAAGAGGCATAAAAGCATCACAACTCATGAATCAAACCTGTCTTGCAACACTGATTAGGCTGTTGCAGTTTTCGAAAAATTGTTGCAAAAAGCAGAGGGGAGTTCTACTCTTTGAAACAAAATCTGTACATGTTGCGCGTTTTACCGGCCATAGCCTGCGTAGCTGGCGGTATTGTGTGGGTGCGAGATTAAAGTTTTGGCGGCGGAGCCGTGTTCCAAAAAAAGACCAAAAAAAGGGAGTGGGGACGAGGCTGTTGAAATACCGCCTGCCAGAATACCCCGGTATTTTGAATAGTCCGCACACCAGTGTGCGGGGAAACGGATTGGTCGAGGGCCATACATATGTCAATCATGTTAGATGAGCCTTCGCATATATTTCCCAATTTAGGGAGCAGATGTTAAACTGAAAAAGACGTACATGTAAAGTGATTGTGATTGTGATTTCCGCTTTAAAAAGAGCATAATTGATGACCAAATTGCCGAAATGGCGTCTTTAAACTTCACAGTGCTGAAATTGTCTTTATTTAGCCGTAAGAAACAAAGGTCAAAGAAAATTAAAACACTACACAACTGCATCTGAGATCAAATCCTATCAGGAATACCTGCGGAAGAATAAACCACCGGAAATGGTTACTCAGTATGCATGTAACAAACCAGCTTCATGACCTTTTAATGTTAAGCCTGGTGTTGCAAAAAAATATTTACTCAGTCAAAGTTTAGAATGATACATGCACTGTGTAGTGCTAGTAACCTTCGCGCGAGAGCCGAGAAAATAAAAAAACTTCTGTTCAAGCAAACTCACAAGGTCACGTTTCACATTTTCACGAGCTTAGGAGTCGTGTTTAGCCTGTCAACGCTTATTTTTAAACTGTCTCGCGCGAAAATAATCGGAAGTTTCAAATTGCAGGTTTCTCTTTGCCTGGCTGATTTAATTGCGATCAGCTAAGGTGACAAAAATGGGCGGCATTCGAAAAATCATGGTTCTCTGGCAGGCGGTATTTCTCGCGGCTTCGCCGCTCGTGACGGCTCCGTCGTCAAATCTCACTCGACTATATTACAACGGCTCCGCCGCCAAATCTCACTCGACTACTACACAATACCGCCAGCTACGCAGGCTATACCGGCCAAGGCAAACGTCAGTTTGGCAGCAAGTGACCAAACTCCCATTGTGTATGGCGTGACTCCCGCGTAATTTTGTGCGATGTTTGAACATGGGTGGTAAAACGCACAATACTCGAGAAAGAAAACGGGAGCAAGAGACTGTCTCCCAACCCGAGTGTGACTAATTTGAGTCTCAGGCCGTGATGCTATCTTTCAACGGTAACGCGGAGTTCAAGCCAAGGTTCTGTCGATGACCTTTACCATTAAACTTAGAAGTGTTGGTGGCTTCAGGTTGCAGAGATTTGCGACCTTTCATTCCTTTCTGTCATTTCTGTTATTCGCTCTCGGTGCAAAGGCGTCTTGAAGCAAGATAACGAAGGGAAAGGAGAACTATCGTGTGTTACCTAGGCGGAATTTGGAGGCGATTGGAGCAGTTGGAGCGAATTTACAGCAGTTTTCCTTCGATGGATCAGTCGGGCCGCTTCGCTGGAGTGCCCAACCTTGGTAAACCTTTATAGAGAGAGAAAACCGTTCACATAAAAATCCATAAAACGGCCATAAATCGGCCCATAGACCACACAGGAGAGACGTAACACACATTTTAAGTAAGGTAAGCTGTTTTTTATTGAAATCCTTTCATTTTCGTAGGTTACAGAAACGATAGGTTTCTTTCCATACAAATCCTTATATTTCGAATGTTACGCAACTACTCACACTCGGGGTGAGAGACAGTCTCTTGCTCCAAAGAAATCAACGCGAGAAATAGGCCGTGTTTTCACGACGCCGGATGTCTCGCTTAACATTCCAGAAGGTGTTT